CTGCAACAAACTGACCCTGCAACATAACCTTCTCAGCAGCAGGGTATCTTCAGAGAGTAAGCTGCTATGGTTACGTACATACCCAGAAAGTTAACCTCCGTTTTTGGAACCGAAAGTTGAGGTTATCCACTAACTTACCCTTAAACTTACCCGGGTATGTCACATAACCTGCTTTCTGGAATACCCCCCTGTTCAGTTCCCTAGTGGTTTTGTTGTTGTTTGCGATGTTTTTGTTATTTTCAGTGTTCGATGGTTTTATTATTTTCAGTGTTCGATGTGTTTTTGTGATTTAGTCTTGTTTAATCCCCTTTAGTTTTTGACCCCTCGTGGTCCTTTGTTTTTGTTAGTCCTTTCTTGTGTTTTTTTAGTTCAGTTAAATAAACCCTGTTTTTGTTCTTTGAGCTGCAAGTGGGTCGTCCATCCTTTCTGTGCCTGCACCATGCCACGTTCTCGTGTCCGAGCTGCCCGGGTCCATGACAGCAAATAAGTTCATTATTGATGAACATGTATGAGGTCAGTATTTAACTTGTATTCTTTCAGTAGTTCCATCAGTAGATCAGAAAAGTTTATAGAATTAAGATACAGTAACAAATATAGTAACAGCTTGGGATAAAACATTAATGATGAATTAACATGAGATCAGTATGTAACTTTGACTTCTAGTTTGTGGTTAATTAATACATAAGTAATAGTATAATACTATATTATTTGTGCCCCGTCAAGTAATGTGTTACCAGTTTCTTAAAGGCATAGTGCAGAAATTATGCTGAACTTTACTAACAGCAAGTGTTGCAAGAATTGCATTCAAGGCAAGGCAACTTTACTGACACAACACATTTCAAACAGAGGGTAAATTCAAAGTAGTTAAGTCATTGACAAAGCAGAGTGGGATATACTGTAACTTTGTATAATGTTTACAATGTAGGTCATTAAGATTAGGGCTGCCAATACGAATTTAATAACGCTAAACCTAGTCCACATATGAGAAATATAATTATATTGGTGACATGTTTGGAGAGATGAAAGACTTGGAGGCAGGAGATTGGGCAAATTGATGGGTTTATTAGAACTAAAATGAGCAAGAACTGGAAACAAACAGAATCTTGGGGGATCAGAATGGGAAGGAGTGAGGAGGGGCATAGACAACACAAGGGAGCAATGTCAATGACAGGACTGAGGAACATAGGACTGGGAAGCACTTTTGTATAAAACGGATGAAGGAGTTAACGAGAGCAACTGGAGTGAGTACCACACAAGGGTAGGAATGGGAGATAAAACGAGTAACAGGCTTGGCTTGTTAAGGCCACACTAGGCAGTCCCTCCAGTTTTTTGCGATTTTGCGATCGCGTCAAATCCCGTGAAATCAGCAATTTAACGCATATTTTCGCGATGCCACATATTTGCTATCCTGTCGCATAATTTTTGCAAAAAATTACCCAAAATCCTTCATGTAAAATCACAACTGTTCTACAACTCCTGCTGGTGGTAGTATTTCCCAATGTACGATCACTACTCTGCTGACACGCACCATTTTAATTAATGATGGCGAGCAAAAAGGGGAAAGACAAGTCCCATTTGCCATCTTTTATCACTGCAAAGGACCGAGCAAAACAATATCCCTCAGTTCTTCACGAGAGTGGGGGCAAATTGTTTTGCACTCCCTGCAATAAAGTGCTTGACCATCGAAGGAAAGCCACAATAAATTACCATCTACAAGGACACAAACATCAGAAGGCAGCCGAAAATTCGAATAGGAGAAGGCAGATAATGATGACTAAAGTTGAAACAAAATCGACCGTGGCAGCAGCCGAACGGAACAAGGTAAGAAGCGGTCATATTAGTGAACGCAGGCTATTTTCTAAGATAGCAAGTTTGTGCAGGTTGCAGAGCTAACTAACGCTAGCTCACCAAATAGAATGAGATAACATTTGCATTTGGCATGCTAAGATAAACATTTGTAATATCACTTAATTTTAGTGTAATTTTGTATATTTTATTGATTTTATTAGTAAAGTCATAAAGTGTTTAGACACCCCGCAGAACGACTAAATGGGATAAATTGTTTTGTTTCCACTATGATTTACTTTAAATTAAACAGTAAATGTCTGTGTAATTGATGTAAATTAGCAAGTTATTTTCAGGTTGATATGTCATCTTGTAAGAATAGTTGTTAGGCTTATCATTGTGATGCAGATCTAATGTTGTGCATGGTGGTGGTTGCTCATTATTATAAAAAAAATCATTAAGTAATTGTGTTTTTGCAGATATGTGAAGATTGGGTCCGCATGTGCACCGCACTCAACATACCTCTTTCAAAGACTGACTATCCTCTGGTGAGGCAGTTTCTGTTAGATAAGGTTGTAAATGGTGGCAGCATTCCTAAGTCTCACCAGCTCCAAGAGAAACACCTGGGAGATCTTTATTTAAAGGGAAAGGCTGAACTGAAAAGAAAAGTATCGGGGAAACCAGTGGCTGTCATCTTTGAGACACCAGATGTTGAGGGCAGATGTGTGCTCCACATCTTGGTTGCACCGCTGGAAAAAGATGACTCGAAGAATTTTAGCATATCTTGCTGACTCCATTTTTTTGGATGTATGCAACCACTCAACAGTTGCAATGTCAGTGGTCAAAACACTTCAAGAGTATGACATCGCCAATGAAAATGTCATTGTCTTTGATACAGACAATGCAGCCTACATGCTGAAAGCCTATCGGGAAGCTTTGAAGTCCTTGTTTCCACAATCAGTTCACATAACCTGCATGGCACACATCATGAACTTGATTAGCGGTGCATTTCGCAAACCCTTCACTGAACTCAATACATTCATGATGTACTTTAATCAGATGTTGTTCATGGCAGGAGGGTGAAAAAGAAGGTACCTGTCTCACTTGGCAGCCAGTTTGCAAAGCTGTAAAGCAACAATGCCACCCAATCCTTGTGCCACCCGTTGGAACTCCTGGTTCTCTGCAGAAGAATACCACACAAGGCACTTTCCTCTTCAGTCAGAAATGCTGGTATGCAAGAAAGTAGTGATACATCAGAACATTAACTGTATTGTACATAGTTCATCTGTGGAAAATGGCTAAATTACATTTAATGGATGACTAGTTATGCTTCATGGTCAGTCCCAGTATTATTACGATTAAAAAGGCAAACAAGTGAAATTTTGACTAATTGTATTTATCATTTCATTGCAAATTATTGTGTTTTTCTTCCTTTTTCCCTCTTTCAGGTATGTGGCCGTAGTGCTCCGCAGTCACTGGAAAAGCTTCATGAAATATTTGAAGATCCTTTGCAAGTCATGTGTCTACAGGTCCAGTTGAGCATTGTTGCAGACAAATACAAAGTGATGTTGCAAATGTTGGATGTGTTTCAAAGCAGAATTCCTGTGACAACTAAGGTCTTTAATTACCTTGAAGACTTGCAGATGAACCTGGTGGCGAACAAAGAGCTTCATGAAGAAGTTTGTGCTGAGTACTTCTCTCAGTTCCCGTTGCCTCGAGAGCAGAAATCTAAAGTCATCAACCAGGTTGAACAAGTATTCAGTGCTGCTGAAGAAAAACTGACCAAATACATGACAAATGGACAACCTGGCATTGAGTTTCTGAAGCAGGTGAGAGTCTTCCAAACAAGATGCATCCCATCCATGTCAAATAGCCCTAACAGCTACACTGCCATCCCTGGCTTCTCTTCAGTACCGTCTGAAGAGATCAACAACTACTTCAGCAAGTTTGGACCAGCAGCACTCCAAGCAGCTGTGGGCAACCTCGGTGTTGGCTTGTCTTCACAAATCTTAGGTTTTATTGAGGTAATTACATCAAGACCAAAAAACAGAAATTAATAAAAGAAAATGTTCATGCAATTAATCTGTCTGCCTGTCAATTTTGTTCATGTCTCACCCATTTTCTATATTACTAGGCCCATTTTGGACCATGGATGGGGTTTACTAAGTAAAAAAAAAAAATTGCAAAATTTCTCGCAAATTTTGAGAACACCACCCCAAATCAGTCATTTTGATCGCAAAAATCACAAAAAAAAAATCGTGAAACCCTGGGAGGACTGACTAGGTGAGGAAACAGGAGATTGTGATGGGCAGGGCGTGACAGTATGTCTGAATCTGATCCAAATATTACCCTATCATTATCCTAATGAGTCTTTCACAGATAAATCTAGTATCCTTTGCTCCTTAAAGGGGAAAAAAAAAAAAATGAACAGAGCCATAAGAAGTGTCAAATGGAGTGGTGTAAAGCATGCTGCTTCTGGACTCTGATGTAGTGGAAACCTGTTTTTTTTTTTTTTAAAGCACATTGGTGCAAGTGCCAGCAAAACTGCGATAGATTACAATCCTGCATCCTCCTATAGTCACTCAAGAAGCGACTGAAGCTTTTGGCCAGATGACGTCATCAGCTGGTGTCCAACTTTCCTTGGGTGTTATGACCCTGAACCACAACACCCTCTAACTGGCGGGCCGGCAGTGATGGCCAGTCACTGCCCATCCTCTCCTTGCCTCCAGTTTAATTCCTCCCTCCTACTCCATAGCCAACAAGGGACTCTCTCCACTGCCTCGCCCAACCTGCAAGCAGCCACCTTCCTCTCCCTCCCTTCCATTCCCAGTGCTGTAAGGGCCCTCCAAACTGACTGTGCAGGAAAGCCTCTGCAGCCGACCTCAACTGGGAATAGCCAGGCTTGCCATCCTTTGTCTTTGCACTGCTGGACCAGGTCCTGATATTTGGTGCTTTTCCGTTCTGAGGCCTCGATGCATCCATCCTCCCACAGGACTGTTAATTCAATCAGGATGATCTTCTTAGCCTCCTCAGTCCATATGACCATGTCAGGCCACAGGCAGGTTTGGACCACCTGGGGAAAAAGGAGTTTTCTCCCCAGGTGACACTTTTTCCATCTCTCCTGCTCCAAAATGTTGGCCAGTGTCCTAAGGACGATCGATATCTTCCTTGGCTGAGCGCAGTCTTAAACCCAGCCAATATGTGCACCATTGTTCCTGTTTCTCCACATAACCTGCACAGAGGGTCCTCCCTCAGTCCCCACCTGTGCAGGTTTGTTGGTGTTGGGAGGGTGTCATACACTCATCAAATCAGGAATGAGATATTGAAGGGCTCCAGTCTCCAAAGTTCAGGCTAGGTGATCTTACGTTTTGGCAGGTCCCACTTCGTCCAGGCCCCCTGTGATCCAAGCTCAACAGCTCAAGACATTCTTCCCTCCTCTTCTAACTGTCGAATCTCCGCTTGGACCATGCTTTTCCTCTGCCTTTTGTCTGCCTTCCACCACTGCTGGAAATGGATTGTTCCAAGTCCCTGGCACCCGATGCATGGGTTCCCAATGATGTCCTTCACCGCTGTGTCTGCTGCCAATTTGCGTCCAGATTGTGTAGTGACACACGTACCTCGGACCTTCTCATCGGTGGAGTCCTTGAAGGTCATCACAGCCCTGCACTTAGCCACCTTGAACTCTTCAACGACTGATGAATGGGTAGTTGTAACTGGCCAGACCTAATGCAGAGCCCTACTGACGTGAAGCTTGGTGGGATACCGAGCCATTTATGTAGGTGCTTGTTGACTCGCCGCTTGATTCCTTCCACCGTTGACATTGATACTTCATAAATTGTCAGAAGCCACAAAAGTCATGGTAGCAAGTCATGCTGGAATAGCCAGGCCCTGAACTTTCCTGGTAAGCCTGATCTTTCAATCTTCCTCAGCCATTTGTCTGTCTGCTTTTCTGTCTTCTCCCTGTGGGCAGTGGTGGCTTGATGGTTAGGGTAGCACACTTGTAATTGAAAGATTGCAGCTTCGAATCCCCCACCAGCAAGTCACCACTGAGGTACCCTGAGCAAGGTACCATCCCCAATCACTGCTCCCCAGGCGCTGAATTAGCTGCCCCCTGCTATGTCACGAAAGTCACATATGGGTCAAATGCAGAGGACACATTTCGTTGTTGCGCACTGTGTGCTGTGGTGTGTTGACACTGATCACTAAATTCGAATTCAAATATGTTGTCTTTATCGTTAAGGGATGGATTGTACCACTTGCTGAGGCATTTTATTGGGTTATTCACAATTGATGGTATGGCCTCCTCCTGGACTTGCAGTTGGAACTTGCTGGTCACTTTACCATTCCTTATCACCATGCTCCTAAACTTCTTCGGCTTGAATCTCATCCGAGCCCACGTTACCACGTCGTCTAGTTCCTTCAGGATCCACCTAGCTTGTACATGGGTAGCTGTTGTGATGGTCAGGTCATCCATAAAGCCTCTTATTGGAGGTTGGCAAATGCCAGACTCCATCGTTGGCCCTCTGGATTCCTTCCTTTCAGCTGTTATGAGCAGGTTCATCCCCATGATAAACATGATAGGGGAGATGGTACAGCCCGTTACAATGCCCTTTTCCAGATCCTGCCACTGGGTTGTGAAATGGCCAGTCTGGAAGCGCAACTTGAATCCTTCAAAGTGGTTGGTGATCATATCCTTCATGTGGTGTGGAATATGGTAATGCTCCATTGCTGCATTAATGAGGCCATGGGGGATTGCTCCATAGTCATTGGCTAAATTGAGCCATACAACTGTTAGGTTGCCTTTACTCTCTTTGGCCTCCCTAATTAGCTGGCTGAGAATGCCTGTGTGCTCTAAACACCCATAAAAACCATGGATGCCACCTTTCTGGACTGATGTGTCAATGTACTTATTGTTCACCATGTAAGTGGTCAGCCTCTTTGCCAGGACAGAGAAGAAAATCTTGTACTCAATGCTCAAGAGACAGATAGTGCGGAACTAGCCAATAGCGGAGCAGTCCATTTCCTTATGTACAAAGCACCCTTCTGCTCTCTTCCAAGTGGCTGGGATATGAGTCCTGCACTGGTCCACTTTTGGAGACCTGCACCCACCGGCACCCGCACAGTACAGCACCACACCCGCCCGTGCACCCGTGATTATTTCAAAGTTAAATCCGCACCCGCCCGGGGCCCGTTAACATTCCGCCCGTTACCCGCTCGTACCCGTGATAAATTACACACAATTATTCTTTCTATGCACCTCTCAACGTGACAAGCGCAAGGGCTACATAAATTTTGAATTGAAATGAAAAAGTCCGTTTAACACAAAATCAAATCAGATAGATCTAAGCTATCTATACTGTGACGAGCATGAAAGAGAGAACACGACGACATGCTTCAGCAAGGATTCAGACGTGTATGTGAATGTTTGTCGAGGTGGTTTTCTAATGGTGCGTTCGTTTTTCTCTCGGAACTCGGAAATTCCGAGTTGAGTCCAACAATCTCCCGTTCGAGCTACCACATCTCTGAACAAACATGGCTGCCTACATGAACACACTGCTGCGTGTTGTTGCTTTATATTTTAGCAGATTTGGAGTGAGTATTTTTTTCAGAGAGACAAACAAACAAGAAACACGAACTAGTCAAACCACATTAAAAGCTTTATAAAATATTTTAGCACATTCATAGCAATATTGTTTTTTCG